AGAACTGCCCCTGCTCTTGTTCCATGTAATCCAAATCCAAATTGCATTTACAAGGATTTAACCTAAGGAATTATGTTCATTAAATAATGATTGTTAATGTTTTGGGTAACATCCAAATGTATCTTACAGAAATACATGCAGGTATACTTGATACGTATATCAATTATATGACTTCAATTTTAGTCTTTTACCAAGACACAGTAATGAAACATTATGGCAGTCAATGTGGTGCAGTCTAATTTATAGAGCAGACACATTGACCATGACAAATTTGGAGTTTGGCATTGAACAGGTCACAAGGGTGTAATTAGGGTCTGAGACCTAGGTCGGCGAAGACCCTATTGAAATCGGTCGTGCAGCGACCGATAAACCTGCGAAAAACAGGGAAAACGACCGGCAAAAGCACAGAAAATGTTCGGAAATCATGACGGCTGAATGTGCTATTTAAGGCAGTGACCCTGGGCGTAGCCCACCTCAATGTTAAATAGCACATTATTGAGATCGGACCGATTATTTGTTATTATTATTATTTTAATACATTGCGCNACCATCTCTCTCCTCTCTCTCTCTTCTCTCGTCTCGTCCTCGCTCCTCGTCTCGGCTCTCTCTCTCTCTCTCTCTCTCTCTCTCTCTCTCTCGACGTCTCTCTTTCTCTCTCTCTCTTAAATCTCTGTCAAAAACACCGCCAGCCACGAGGCTCCGGCGCAGCGGCGCTGTGAAAGTAAAGTATAAAGAGCCCCGTGCTCCAACACACATGAACGCGCACATGACCAATGAGGGCACAGATAAGTTTTTGCACAGATGGAAGGCGACAGGCAGGTAGGCATCCAGTTGTCTTAGCCGGGACCGGCTCAGATGATTGGTGGTGCTTTTTACAGCGCTACGGCTTCCCACAGAATATAACAAAAAGTGTATCTCGAGCCTGTGTACCTACCCGACCTTTAACCTGTTACGATTGTTTACCTTCCGTTCTCGTACAATAGATTTTAACAAATTTTCTTGAGGGTTTTTCACAATTGAAATAAAATAAAAGGGAATTCTAATCAACAGTTCATTTTTATGATCAATTAATAAAGAATCATAATCAAACTTTCTTGTAAAATGCATAATACTGATCATATTGATTCCCAGAGTTGGATGATTGTGAAATTGAACATGCGTTAAACAATCAGTATCATATCATTTAGTTTGATAGCTCAATACTACTTAATTTTTTACAAACATGCCATTTTTCGTAGTGACCACAGTATTTTGTTCTCAAGATTGTGTCATATTCCCTACCTTATTGCTTAATCTTGATCATAACATGCCTTATGTTGAAGTGTGAATGTTTGAAGCTACTGACCCAGAAATCAGCACTTTTAGTCCAGGCTGAAATAGAGGGGAATGAGCGCTTAGAATTGGGTGATCTGTTGGTATCTTATATTATATTTAGACCTATAATATATGTCTACAAATAGTATAAGAGACCTTTAAAGTAGAACACATGATTTTCAGACTTTAACAACACATTTATTTCCAAATGGTGGGATTTACCTGCTTACCGATTCCATTTTGTCACTAAACCGGAACGATCCATGTCAAATTACCGTAACCGTATAAACGTATAAACGTAAACCATATGTTTCGGTATTGACCGATTCTGGCTAAGTTTGAAGCATAACTAAAGAATGCTATAGCAAGTACATGGCCTAGCATACAACTACGTTTTGAAGAGCATTACACACCATAAAAACCTAATACTTTGCATAAAACTCTCCGAAAAAGTTTACTTAATTGAAGAGAATATGTGTTCGGTAGTGACAATTCATTAAGGTTCCACGACAATTTTTTCAGATTTTGGAAAAGATTTATATCAAAGTATGGAATAGCTACTTGCCATTCAGCACTGAGGGCAGGGATGCAGTGTCACTGCCTAAGGTCACAAATGCAGGGGTGTGGCTAAAAACAGGCTCAGTCCATTGGACTAAAACCCCTTGTGGTTCCGGCAGTGACATGAAAACTGGGGACATGATTTTTGAAAGTACAGTTTTTTTTTATTAAAAATGATACCCACAATAAATCGTAAATATTCCCAACTTCTGTTTGAATGGTATTTTCAGACCTTTAATTATTCAAATGGTGGATTTACCCTGCTGTACCAGTTCCATTTTTCACACTGGAACGATCATGTCAATTACCCCGAAACGTAACCATTTTTCGGTAGTGACTGTTCGGCTAGTGACGATTCTGGCTAAGTTTGAGCATAACTAAAGAATGCTAGCAAAGTACCATCGGGCTAGCATACACCGTGCTTTTGAAGAGGTTCTACGCACACATAAAAACCTAATACCTTTGCATAAAACACCGAAAAAGTTTAGTTAATTGAAGAGAATATGTGTCGGTAGTGACCAATTCTTAGGTTACACTCCAATTTCAGATTTTGGAACAGATTTAGTGATCAAGAAGTATGGGATATAGCTTACTTTGCCATTCCAGCCATGAGGGACGGGCATGCCAGTGTCACTGCTAGTCACCCAAAAATTATTGCAGTTGGTGTGGCTAAAAACCAGGCCTCAGCCATTGGACTAAAACCCTGTCGTGTTCGGCAGTGACATGAAAAACTGGGGACATGAGTTTTCTTTGAGTTATAGTTTTTTTTATTAAAAAATGATACCCATAAATCTAAATATTCCAACTTCTGTTTGAATGTAATCATAAGATCTTCTAAATAGCACCATTCAACTAAATAAATTAAAATGTTTTAAGTGTTATTTACAGAAATGTAGATTCAGATTGGGACAGCTACTTCCCAATAGAAAGTACCCTAAAATGATGTTTCTGTATATATTAAGCTTAATCACTATATCATTAATGCCTTGTGTTTAATAAGACCCACCAACATATTCCTAGTAAATATCTATGTCTGAATATGCTATGTATTGTTAACATAGTTTTTCCTTGTCCGTGGGACACACTTTGTCTATTCGGTAGAACGCCCATACTATCTGTATGTCTGAATTTCTTACTTAATTTAAAATGACTGTCCACAATTCTGGTTTTTAAAAACGTATGGGCAGTATAAAGAAATAAAACGTTTTTAGTAGCCTGGCTGATTAACTTGCGTAAGACTTCCCCACAGTCCTTGAATTAATGCAATATGCACAACAAAGTGACTGAGCTCATTATATATAGTGATCAAACACAGGTAATGGGAAAAAAGAGAGAAACTATTCGAAGCAAGGAAAAAACAACGTAATATAGCACTGACAAAGGCCTGTGCCTATAATAAAGCATTAAATATAACAAAGGAAGAGACAAATAAATTATAATAATTCAACCAGATCAGATAGGGACGAGTGTTGTATCAAGGTATATAATATTCAGAGAACAGGGGGGAATAATATATATTACTTTTCATAATTAACAACCATCCTCACGAGGCGTACAAATTCATTGAACTCAACCTACAGACATTAAAAAAATACACACAGAGGAGACCTTTTCAATAGAGAAGACAACTTTCACATATATATTCATGCTGTAAGCAAGAAAAGCAACCTCTTAATCCAGATATCTTACCATGACTCGCGCATGAATGCATGCATGTGCACGGTGTGGCATGCCACCAGAAACAAGAAAGATATGGAGCCACAAGATGTGTGCAATGTAATTTAGTAATCCCTGGTGAATCATGATTTAAGTGGGGGGGACCTAACCTCCTCTAGGGGGGTCCAGGGGCACGCTCCCCCGGGGAGATTTTTTTTTAAATATTGAAGTTAAAGCATTCAATCTGGTGGCACTTTGAGAGCAACATGAGAGATCTATGATACATCTCTCAACACCCATTGAAACAGACTGTAAACCAGATTTTTCTTTTTGGATATTTCAAATCACTTATTTTTAACAACTTTTTTGTTACTGTCAATAGTTATTTTATACCTGTTTTTCATTTTAGTCTCTAATGTCTCATTAATAATATAATGATCATATCATCGGGGTGTGCCTGTAACCTCACTGAGCGAGATTATTTGAGCCTCTCAGGAGACGAGCTCTCCTTCCACCTGGTTGTAAGAAAAGCTCTTTTAAATTTGTTAAGCCCATGAGCTACTAACCAAGATGCTAATAACAACAGATCGCCACTGTGCTTACAACTAAAGACACAGCACGCAAACACTGCAGCATGTGTACGGCTCCTTATGGGTACTGCAATATTTGAAGAGCTGAGCGCGTTCCCGGTGCTCTCCGTAAGCACTCTAGTCTAGTCTTACACTCCCTTTTCAGATGAGACATAACCACGTGAAGACACGTTACGCTCGTGTTGTTGTCATGGAACCTGTCCCTTGGCCAGGAAAACAGGCACTCGCTTGTTTATATATTATTTGCGATCTAGATTCTTCTTCTTTTTTGAAGTGAGAAAGTTGTCCTGCCGTCTCAAAACGGACGGACTGACGAACCCCCCGCCCAAAACCGGGAAACACTCGTCGGTTCTCCACGAATTACACAAGTCAACCAAAGCAGCGTTAAAAAAAGCGGGAGGCGCCGAAAAGCGACTAATTTGCATCACTGATATATATTTGCAAGGCTCCAACACTGCACTGTTGAATTTCTACTGAGCACCTCTGATTTGTGTATTTGGCATCACAGAGTACATGCTTTATTTTATATTATATGAATTAAAGAAGAATAAAGGACAGTATTGACCACACTGTGGGGGTGGTCTGTGGGGGTCCTGTGTCAGGACATGTGTCGGGCTCTGCAGCCGGATCACTGCTAAGCCCCTGCTCTCAGTTACCTCTCTCCCATGATTGGAGCATGCATCGCTAATCGGACATAAACATTCATCTTCATATTCTCCCCTGCTACAATGAGCTTCCTATTCCACTCAGATTCCAGCAATACGCTTCCCATGATCCTCTCTGGCCAGTCTGCCCCCTGAGGTGGGACATTCAGGCTCCCAAGGACAGATGGAGATTCCATGGCTGTAAGAGTAACAAGGTAGGGGGAGTTGCTCTTCTTCTCTCCTTGTGAGAATGGCAGTACACTGGTGTTGGTGTGTGTAGTGACGCATATCAGGAGACAGGAAGAGGAGACAGCCACTTGGAACAGCCCTGGATGGTAAGGGGTTGTCTCACATCCTGTAGAGGTGTGAGGAGATGGTAGCTTGTTCTTTCATGGAGGATAGCAGCTGATGTCAGATTAACAGCAGCATCTATTCCTCTACAGCTGATCCAACCCAAAACAACATCGCCGAAGATGATTCTAGTGTTCAAGGCGGCTACAGTGAAGGAGAATCAGCTGTGTTGTGTTTTATGCAGCAGTTTAAGTTGTTTTTTAAAATACATTTTGAATGACTTTTTTATTTTTACGCGACTCCAATGCAAGAGAAGCAATTCAACATATTGTTGAAGGGATCAGTATATCGTGAGTTATCAGGTTACGTGGGGAATTGGACTCGACGTTTTCATGCTCTTTAGAAACCTGGTTACTGTAGATTTGGATTAACGTGCCACCGGTTAGTAACCAGATTGAACGAGTAAACCTTGTCTTATTTTTATTGCATCTTAATTCTGTTATTGATTAAAGACATGACTGTATAGAGTATTTTTTATTTTATTTATATTAATCTTTAACTGCAAAGTAAAGTTTTGAATTATTTTAAAAGTGAGGGTGTATCGTTAGAAGTAAAACCTCTCCTTGCAGCTACCATTCGGCTAATAAAATATTCAGCTGTTTCTGCATTTTCAGCCACAAATGTTCACAGTTTACAGCATTCGCAGGCCTTTTCTGCAGGAAGTGCATTTTGTCGTTATCTGTTAACCATCAATTTTCCCTCATGTCCTCCCCTGATTATGGCCACACGGTTTTTGTATAATAAGTTTTTCTTATTAATGCCGGGTTAAATATCAATCAATTCCTTTATTTATTTCTTGACTTTATTAATCACTCCGGCAAAGGGACATTTCACCCACATTGCAACAATATAAAGCCTGGTTAAAAGTAACCGTTAAGTGGCAATAGCAATATTCTTTAATATCAATATCCTATTTACATGCACAACTGACTGATTGTAATTGTGGGCAAACACTTTTGGGATTTTTATGTATTGAATATTATATGTATTATAATATATTTACTCAACTCAAGTCTTTTAAATGATTTGTAATCATCATTTAACGTGATTCCTTTTAATTCACTTTTCTGAAAAATCGTGCATCGTTATGTTGTAGTTAAAACTAGAGGGTTGGCAAATGCAACAAAAATAAACTCTTGTAGAGTATGGCACTGACTTTTAATTATTATAAAAAAAAATTATCTGAAGAGAAGCAGGAGAATGGCAGTGTTACAGTGTCCTCCATGTTTACCTGGTCGTGCCAGCGGAAGTCAGGCGTGATGACGAGCCGCACGCGGAGCACGGTGCGTGTGATTGGCTGGATGTTGGCCTCCATGGTGATGGCAGGGATCTGGTGGGCACACTGTTTGACCGACTGTCCGACGTTCACATGGTGCAGCATGTGACCTGGGAACAATGCAAGGCCGTTATCATGTGTTCCATACGTTTATTAATATAAACCTATATAAAACTAATAGAAGGCTGATGTGGCTCATGCAGATTACAGTGAAAATCCCCATGAAAACCTGATATTAAAATAACAGGTGCTAAAACTGCTAAATTCAGCACAAATGTCTTTGTCATGAGTGTTGTCATACCCACTGTTCTGAGTTTCTCTGTTTAACTGGTTTCACTCACTATCAATCCCAATCACTTGGCTGTTTTATAATCAGCATTTCCAGTTGTTCCAGGAACAAGAAGGATTATCCCAACTTAAAGGTGGGGCAGGTAATATTTGGAGAAACCAGCTCGAGTGTGCTGGAATTTGAAAATACACAACCGGAAAAAATCTGCCACTTTCTTACAGAGCCCCTCATCCAACACACATGAACGCGCACATGACCAATGAGGGCACGAGATAAGTTTGTGCACAGATGGAAGGCTGACAGGCAGGTAGGCCATCCAGTTATTTTAGCCGGGCCGGCTCAGATGATTGGTTGTGCTTTTTACAGTGCTACGGCTTCCACAGATGACATTTTTTTATGGATTTGTTGTCAAAGCACTTCAGATATTCATTGCTATCAGGATGTTAAGAGCATTCCATGGATTATAACAAAAAGTGTATCTCGAGCCGGTTTCTCAAACTTACCTACCCCACCTTTAACAATAAAGATTTATATTTGAAAAACGTGTTTAAGAGGTTAAGGGCAATTTTGACGTTACCTTAAAGTGGACCTATCATGCTATATTTTAATAATATATTGTAGGGCCATACCCATATAAAACATGTCTGTGAAGTTTCTTTTTCAAAATACCAAACAGATCATGCATTTTAGCCATGCCTCATTTCGCTCTATTTGCTCTATTCCAGCCCTGTTTTTGCAAGGGCTGATTCTGTGGCAAATGAGCTGCAGAGGAGGGGGGCGAGGCACGAGCGTCATTTTACCATGCTGTTACCATGCTGTTACCATGCTGTTACCATGCTGTTACCATGCCACGCAACCTCTCATTCCCCTGATAGGTGGAGAGTTGCCAATATAGGCGGAGCTCCTTGTTTCTGACGTCAGAGATATTTCAAATCTGGATCCGCCTGTATCAGATCCGTTGCAGCCCCGTTTTTAGAGATACGGGGCTGCAACGGATCTGATACAGGCGGATCCAGATTTGAAATATCTCTGACGTCAGAAACAAGGAGCTCCGCCTATATTGGCAACTCNTGACATCATCGTGTTCCATGGCGAGGGACCGCCTAGCATCGAGCGAACGCGAACTTTGGCGCCAAATCACGGCTACGCCGTGCGAAAGTAAAAAGTTTCCGTGATAACTTTAAATTGCCCATGTCTCGAGAAGCTACCCGACGAATTTCGAGTCGTACGGAATTTCGAGTCGTACGGATAAAGTCCCTAGGACAAGATAGATTTCGTACGGAGGACGAAAGGAGGACGCCAAATTCAAAATGGCCGACTTCCTGTACGTTATTTTATACCCCTCCAAGAGGCTTTTTGGTTCGTCTCCGCACCCTAGATATGCGTAGCGAGTTTCGTTCGTTTACGTGAAAGTTGAAGTAGGGGGAGTTAACGTTAAAAACGGAAGTGGGCGTGGCCTACGCAATTTTTTACGCAAAGTTCCGGAACCAATTACACATCGCAATTTTTACCACTTCTGACGCGCGTGCAAAATTTGGTGAGTTTTCACATATGTTGCGGGGGTCAAAAGTNCCGTCTAATATGTTCGCTAGCTGTTAGTGTTGTTGCATAGCAACCACCTTGCACTATGTTTCTTGCAGAAGGCAACGGAGGGACTATTTTATTTTGAACATCATTATTTACTAATAACTATTTAAATTAGATTGTGTATTTTTCTTTCATATTGCCACACTTGGTAACCGTTTTATAAAAGCAATAGCTCACTTCAGGCCGTGATATATGCTCATTATATCACAGCTAAGGGGCGTGGTTCGGCCCGACGAACATTTGTACGGTAGGTAATGATTCAGACTGTATCTTATAATCCCCATCGAGCTTAGCAAACTAATGAATCACCTTTTCTCTTGAAGCATCTGTATTTGTCATGATTCTCTACTCGTTTATTCAGATTTTTGATTTGACACTAATCTGTATATAGAAAAGCGTGGCACCTTCAGTGGCCGTGATCAATACTTTTTTATTAACACTGACATTTGATCAAGTGGTAGGTCGTCATTTATTCATCCAACCCCTTCAAAACCTTTTAGCGTCTTTAAGTTCAATGTTTTCAGACTTCAACTTTACTTTTCTTGTTCACTGTCATTACTCTTGTCATGAATGTTTTGAGCTGCAGGAGGCAACTACTTCCTTCTAAAAATAATCCTTTGAGCCCTAAACTTGGAGGGTCAGATATTTCTCTCAGAATTTGGTGAAAATCCAAGCTCACTTTAAGAGCTGCAACAATACAAATAAAAAAAAGTGCTGAATCTCCATATCAAAGGTTGTGAAAACACGATTTTCTGCCATTTTTCCATTAATAAATAACTTAGTCGGCAAAAGCATTAATGTTGATCCTATCGTCTGTCAGTCAACTACTTGTTGCAGCTTAATCCACAGCAGACAAAAAAACTGAAACTGCAGACACATGAATCTGGATACTTCCCGTCAGGCTGCTAGACAATGGGCGTGCAGTTCTCTCCAAATCCTAATAGTGTGTTGGTCAAAACACAGAAGCAGTAGATATTTCTTTCTGAGAATGGTGTTCTGTTTCTCTATAGCTGAGTTAAAGATACATGGAGGGTACATTTATTTTTCGATTTCCTGAAGTTATGCAATGATATGAAAAACCGTCACCTGGTAGAAACTCTTTTCCCTCTCTGCAGGCCGCTGTGTGCACTCGTTCAGTGTGTTGGTCATCAACAGCACCTGTGTGTCTCTGTCCTGGAGCCTGTTGGACCCTCCCTCAGTGCCTCTGTACATGGTAGTGCAGTGGTCTCCTCAGAGGCAGCAGGGCTATGACCCTCACAAAGGCCGGACTAGTGAAACATGGGCCAGACTGCCCTACACCAAGCGTCCCATCTACCTGAGAGGTAACATCATCTCTTCAATGTTTCTTATTTTGATCTCTTTGGGTGAGAGTGAGTATGTAAACTCAGCAAACATGATTTCAATGTATTGTTTGCAGGTGATTTTTTAGGCTCAGAGGACTCTGGCTTCCAATTGTACCCTGTGTTTGCTGATGGAGAAGGGGAGCCAATGTACGCTAAAGGTAGGCTGTCCATTTTTGGCTGTTTTATTCAAAATTCAAGGATGACAGGATTCCAGCACTTCCACTGTTTAATTAAGTATAGCTCTGATGTATTTTTTTTCAACAGTTGCAGCCACCAGAGAAGACCCTGCAGCCTACATGATGCTCATGGTCATCTCCTTCCTCTCCATCGTCCTGTTAATTACCCTCATCCTCTCCCAGAACCAGTAAGAGCCTCTTGATCAGTGGCGGTTCTAGACCAATTTTACTGGGGGGGAAGGCTGGGGCCAGTTATTTCATGAGAGGGGCACAATAAAAGCGGGTTATAAAGACAAAGACAGTATAAAGTAATTCTGTAAAAAACATAAAATACGGTAATTGGTATTTGTTAGAATTACTTTATACTGTCTTTGTCTTTATAACCCGCTTTTATTGTGCCCCTCTCATGAAATAACNTTTTTGGCGAAGGATGCGTTGCCATGGAAACGGCATATGGTGAGATCTCAGATTTCACGCAGAGCTGTTGAGGCATGGACCAGTGATATAAAAGTGAAGATTGGGGGACGATGGGACCGTGTCCATTGGAGTTACAGCAGCACCGTTGTTTATGGCGAAGGATCCGTTGCCATGGTAACGCCAAATTAAGTAACATCGGATTCGAACTAGAGCTGTTCAGGGCCGCAGTGTTAACCATCATGTGAAGTTTGGTGGCGTTCTGAGAATGTTAGTTTGAGTTATGACATCATCGTGTTCCATGGCGAGGGACCGCCTAGCATCGAGCGAACGCGAACTNACAGCTCCCTCGCCATTAAACATGGTGTTGTCGTAATTCAATGGAAAATCGTCCAAACGCTACCAGACTTCAGACTATCATTAATGGTCCGGCCCTCAACAGCTCTGTCAATTATGGAATGTCCTCATATGTCGTTGCCATGGCAACGCGTCCCTCGCCATGAAACATGGTGTTGTCGTAATTCAATGGAAAATCGTCCAAACGGCACCAGACTTCAGATGATGGCTAATGGTCCAGCCCTCAACAGCTCTACACCAATTATGGGATGACATCATATGCCGTTGCCATGGCGACAGATCCCTCGCCATGAAACATGGTGTTGTCGTAATTCAATGGAAAATCGTCCAAACGGCACCAGACTTCAGACTATCATTAATGGTCCGGCCCTCAACAGCTCTGTCAATTATGGGATGTCATCATATGCCGTTGCCATGGCAACGCATCCCTCGCCAAAAAACCTGGTGTTGTCGTAATTCAATGGAAAATCGTCCAAACGGCACCAGACTTCAGATGATGACTAATGGTCTGGCCCTCAACAGCTCTATGTCAATTATGGGATGTCCTCATATGTCGTTGCCATGGCAACTCATCCTTCGCCAAAAAATACGATGTTGTGTTAACTCAATGGAAAATCGTCCAAACGGCACCAGACTTCAGATGATGCCAATTATGGGATGTCATTATATGCCGTTGCCATGGCGACAGATCCCTCGCCATGATGGCTAATGGTCCGGCCCTCTACAGCTCTATGCCAATTATGGGATGTCATTATATGCCGTTGCCATGGCGACAGATCCCTCGCCATCAAACAGAATGTTTATGATACTGCTGTAACTCCTAAATACATTGTCCGATCGGCCTGAAACTTCCCACGTTTGCCAACGGCCGAGTCCTCTTGCTTGCAGCTTTAATTACACTTGTTATCTGCAGGGAAGTGTGTGTGTGGGGGGGGTGAGAGGAGACAAAGAAGCCTGTAGCAAAGAAGGATGTACTCTAAATATCTGCTGCAATTCTCTCTAGGATGAAGAAGATTGTCTGGAAGAAAGTGCCCAACCCAAACCAGTGCTCCTGGGCCAAAGGACTAGACTTCAAAAAGGTACAAAATAAAACTATTTATTCCTAAATGATAACTCATGGTCATGATTTGTTTTGTATCAAACTTTCATATAATCCTGGACACAACTTACAAAGAAAAAACTTGTTTTACACTGTTTCATCGCGCTTTGTCACATTTCAGACAGTCCGGTCTTTAAACTAAAACAGCTATACGTCATTAGTCGAATCCAACTGTCAGGAAAGCAAGTTAGTGCATTTTATGAAGTGTTACATTTGCCCTTTAACTCAATACAAATATGCCTTTGCCCACAGCAATGTTCAAAGTGTGGTGGAAATTCCACACTTAATCACCTTCTGGTAAGAAAAGAACAAATATACAAGCTTAAACCTAAGTCGTGTTATTTAATAAAGAGTTATAGCATTTAACAGAATCAATAATATTTCCAGCTGGAAAGGACAGAGGTGCTGCACTAGTAGATAGTACCAGGATCTGACCCCGTTACACAGAAAAGCAATGCAATTTATACAGATGAGACACAGGAAGGAAGGCAATCCACATTACAGTCCTAAATTGGGACTGGGCAGACAGAAGGGGAAGCGCAGCATGTTAATTACAACCCCAAACATCCATATGATAATTGCCTGACAATGGTCAGGGCGACACCCTTCTGTCTGAGAACATTTTGTAGAAACCTACATGTATATTGAATCACTGTAAACGTCATCATACAAAGCAATAGGGCAGTGCTGTAAATTAATATTTCTTTGTCATTTTTACATTTAGGAAATGTAATACTGGTTACTGGGATTTAAGTAAGTATTAGCAGTAAGCTAATAATAATAATACACAAACTAATGCTTTATCTGTTTTTGCATGTTGTTCTAGGGTGCCACCTTTGACCTCCTGTTCAGACCTCCAGAGGGTCTGTCAACCTGGCCGCTGCCCCTGCCCTCTGAGAATATTTCTAAAGCTTCCATATTGGACAAAACAGATCTCTCGGCTATGAATAAAGCTTTAATCCAAGCCCCATGTGTGTCCCTAACTCCAGCCCCTGCATTTTCCATGTCCCATTTCCCTCCGGGGTTTGACACTGAGGCTGACCCGGCTCAACCCAGTGAGAGTGAGGGGCTCCTAAGTGGAACGTCCTTAGCCCTAAATGTGAATACCATTTCCCGGCAAAGAATAGATGAGTTACTACTACCAGACCAGACCTCAGGCAGCAATGACAGCTCCACTCACTCTTTGGTCACCTACGCCACGGTGCTGCTCTCTGGTCTGAAACAGGAGCAGCAGCCCTCTCACCTCCACTACAAGGACGGTAGCGGCAGCAGCAGAAGCTCAAGCGACGAAGGCAACTTCTCCACCAACAACTCGGACATTTCTGGGCCTTTCGTTGGTGGCTTGTGGGAGCTGGACAGCTGCCAAGGTGGAGAGATGGACGACCTGCGGCACTCCTGCTTATACAACTCTGTGGAGGAGCTTTCTGAAACATCAGATCAAGAACACAAAGGAGAGGAGGAGGTGAGAGGAATTAAAGACTTCTTTCATCTGGGAATGGACTTTCCAGCGGCGGATGAGAAGAGTGAGAAAGATGAGCAGAGAGGAAAAGAGACAAATATTGAGCTGCTTAAAAATGTAGTTTTGAACAGAGATGAGCGTGCTGTGGAGTTGCACCCTTTGCTCGGGCCTGAGGACTCGAGAGAGCTGCAGTCAGCGTCATCGCGTGGCTTTTCTCAGCTGTACCAGCCTCAGTTCAGGACTGCTGCGTGCATGAGGCAACTTGCTGCTCACCCACAAGACGGCTAACTCCAGCCGTGACACTCACAAAGACGACATTTGAATAAACATTGCTTTCACCAAAGTGGATTAGCACGTTCCTTCAGACAATGTGAGGTGTGGAGCTAAGGAATGTATAAGAATAACTTGTCTGAGGAGTGATTGCAAATTGATAAGAATCAATGCTGCTATTGTTTTCTGCGTGAAAAGATACTAAGAGGGCACAAGCCTTATAAAGGCATTTCTTTCTTTCTTTCTTTATGGGTTTTTAAACCCAAATTTTACTGTGTCGCACTGCTCCTCGCAATCAGTTACTTTTTAAGCTATTACAGAGAGCAGCACATGCAGTACATTGGTCAACAATGGAGTAATTAAAGGTCCCATGTCATGCTTTTCCGGTTATTACCCGTCCCCTTGTGTGTTATGAAGGTTTTTATGCATGTAAATGGTCTGCAAAGTCACAAACCTCAAAGTACACCCTGTAGGAGACTGCCAAGGCACACAGAAAATACCTGTCTATGCTGCCCCAGAACGCCTCGTTGGAGATTTCTCTTTTTCTTCCTGGGTACAGTGACGTGCCCATACCCAAATGGACCCATTGGTCCAAATGGACCAATCCATGGAGCCGTTACGTTACGTCCACGCAGTGGCGTTTCTATATGTACAAAAGTGGTGGGGCACAGAAAACTTAGATGTCTATATATAAGCTTCTGCAGTGAGGTTCATGGCTGGTGAGGCACTGGCACGGACTCTTCAGGTTTACAAATATAATATTTTGACCTAAATCAAAATATAATATTATTTTCAAAAGCTTTTTTTGTCTGATGCTTCGATTAATTTTAAACAGACAGTTCAACAAAAGGATACCCAAAAAATGTAATTTTATCATTTAAATATTGAATTGTTCTCTCTTAATAAGATCCCATTTTCAATCCAAATTGCGGTCTTACCTTGACTTGAAGATGAAGTCCATTTGGCTATCCTTCTGGA